TTTTTAAAGAAATCGCCCGTAGGGCCTTAAGCTCAGCCTTAAGTCTTTGACTTCAACTAGTTTAAAAAAATTACAGGTAGGTTTCGGTTTAATTTTAAGTTGCTACTGGAAGCTACTAGTGTTTCCCAAAGTAACGTGTTTAAACAAAACGTCAACACGTGTGTGTCAACTTCAAATACAGTCTACTCACGCTGCAGAGGGGAAAGGCTACAAAAGAACACTCAATGTCAAAATAAAATTTGAACATCACCATTGGTCCATTCTCTTGGCCATGTGAAAAAAATGTTGAGAAATTGAGAAATGTATTCATGGTTCGCACATTAAACGGTTACGCATTTTATTGTTCATTTACATGCAGAATTTTATACAGCCGGAAGTTTGCACAAATTTTATGCATAAATGATGTACAAAATTGTACACAATTTTATGCACAAAATGTACGTAGTTATGCATAAAATTGTGCATAACATTATGGCTGTATAAAATTCTGCATGTTTACGCACAACACAGTGCATACGAATTTAGTGTTCGATAGTTGGTATGAGCGAATAAGCCGAGTACACAGGATCACGGATAGGTACACCGGTTTGCACACATGCCTAAGAGTAAAATATGAATATAGAATAGACTGAGTTAGGGATGAGTACAGAGTAAGTACAGGTGTAGTATACGGAGTTGGCGCAGGGTGAGTGAAGTCTAAAACAAAGGGAGAACACACGCAGCGAGAAAACTGTCGCATTAGGGAAAACAAATCACTTAATGCAGAATACAGCTTGGAAGGACCCTACAATATTTGGACCCCCCTCCTCCGTCCCCCCGGATGTGCTTTATGGGCCGCCCCTGTGGGAGGAAGGGGGCGCCCTTAGGAGGGAGGTGAGCAGGCGCCTGGCGCCGCCTCGCCCCCGCAGGGCTCCCGTAGGGCCGCAGACGCCGGGCACGCCGCCGGGGGCGGGCCGGGGGTGGCAGACAGGTTGGGGGGTGGCGGGGGGCGGCCCCGCCCCACCGCGTGGTGCTCGGCCCCCAGTCGTCGCCCCGCCGCCGCCCCCACCGGTCGAGCCGTTCGCCGCCTGTCCGCCGAGGCGACGCGAGCACGCCGCGCGCCGCCACGAGCTCGCACTCGTGGTGAACACACAACAGAACGCGCCCGGCGGCACCCGCGCCCGCGATGTTTCAAACGTGTCAGATCTGAGTGTCGGTCAGTCGTCTTTGTATTATTTTGTTCTGACGGTTGCATCGAGTGAAGTTTTACGTGTAAACATGTTGTGACGAAGTTCTTGCCGATGCTGCTCTGACGGCAGAGCGTGGCACTGTGACGGAGTAGTAAGTTTCCAGAAGCGAATTGTGTGTGTGTGTGTGTCTGTGTGTGCGTGTGCGCGAGGGGTGATGCAATTGATTCCTAAGAAGACTGATATTACTTCCCACACTTTGCCGTACGCGTGACTCCGCTCCGAACCGAGGGCTGACTTCCGGAGTCTTAATAAATGTTGGTTGTTCCGCGAAAAAAGTATCAGTGTGGGTGATATATTTAATACAAGCGGGGAAAATCGAAATACCTTTGTGCGGAATGAACCGTATGAATGTCAAAGGGGTGGCAATCACGCTTGTTCGGTTAATTTGCTGACAGTTAAAGTTTTGCAAGGATGTAAAGTGACGACTTAACCATCTTTTTATTTTTAAAAACAAAATCGAGTGTTAAGCTCCTACTTCCAACACCGTGCTGCTGTCCTTCATCACCTACCACCTACCTAGCCACAGCGACCGATCGGCGCGTGCTACAAACTTCTGCAATCAGAATGACAAGAGTTGTCCATCCAATTGCACCCCGTCCTCTCTCTCTCTCCCTCGAATCTGCTCCTTTCCCCTCGACCTCCTAAGTCTTATGAGAAAAAGAAAAAAAGAAAAAGGGAACTATACAGTTTTAGTTCCGGACGGGTGAAGGTTCGTATTCCGATTCTTAATTGAAACCTTCGTCGCCGGCACGTTGCCTTGGCCGCATGTCTTCACACTTCCCCCTCCCGCACCCCACCCCCTCCTCTCCCGACGAAGCCAGTCAGTGTCAAGCTCACCGATGTATCGGCGTTTTAAATTTAGGCTGGGTCGGGCAGACGGACGGACGGACTGGCCGGCGGCTCGGACAGACGGTCGGCTTAGAGTGTCGTTAGCACCGGGGTAGCATCTCTCCGAGCGGAATACTTGAGCGGGTACGCTAGTTTCAATCGTGGAAATATGTGTAACGGCACCGAAAAAAAAATACCGTGATATAGCCCCTTGCGAAAAATTTGGATTGTTCCGCTTCGCCATTGTTCATCTGTTCCAGGAGCAAGGTTTAAAAGAACACGAAGGAAACCCACGTTTTCTGTTATTTTTGTGTTTTGCTCCCGTTCCGATCGACACTCTGTAGTGCCCTGCAGGGTGATGCCACCAAGCTGGCCACTCGCTTGCACTCCGAAAGTGTCGGAGAGAGAGAGAGCTTCGGCGCATTCTCTAACGCGGCCCCGTCAGTGGGCGATCAATTGGTAGGCGAGCGTGAACACGCTTAGGGTGCATGCGGAAAGCACCTCTCTCTCTCTCTCTCTCTCTCTCTCTCTCTCTCTCTCTCTCTCTCTCTCTCTCTCTCTCTCTCTCTCACACGCGGCCACAGCTGTCAGGGTGACACTAGCGGCGTGGACTGTACACAGGAGGGCGGGCAATTCAAATTACCGCCCGCGGCCCTCCTTTTGTTTATTTTGTCGATGCGAAAAGACCGGCGCGCGCGGTGACGAAGCGACGACCACAGGGTACCACTTTATGAATCGATTCACACGAAAAGTGTCTAGCGCACAGTTTGAGCTGTTTTTCGACAACATATTTTGAAAGATTTGAGCTGGTCTTCTGTTCTGTTACCCACCGTGTTCCCTCAGATCCGCCTAGACTCACCATCTGATAACTCACCGGTAAAAGGTGAAAAGGGCGTAAGTGCGATGGGAAGTCTGAGGACTTACGCCCTCTTCACTTTTCACCAGTGAACTAATAGCTTGCGTTTTAGTTTCTTGAGTTTCAAATGCCGCGACTCGTAAGCACCGTTGAATCCTGCACAGAAAAGTACACCCTAAGTGTAGTGGGTTAATTTTGTTCCAAACAAAGAGAAACGTTTCCGTCTAAACCCGAAAAGGATGCAATTTTGCGTTTTGTTCTTAAATTTGGACAATTGTACATAGTTTGACTTTACTTATTCGGCTCACGTTTAGACATGAGTGATTGGAAATTTCAAAAGAGGATAAAGAGTACAAGCGAGGTGGTGAAGCTACGGCCGAAAATCAATCCTCTGCTTTAAAACAAATAACGAAATCCAACAGAGGTTATTTAAAAGAGCCCCTCCGACAATGTCCATTTACTAAACGCCTTGCCTCACCACCAACACAACTTGAATGCCCCATTTTTATTTACAGCCACTCTTTCCCCCCCTTTCAGAGCGTCTGTCGATACTGCCAATGGAGCGACCGCAGGGCCGCTATTCGCACGTCGGGATTGGCTATTACACGGCGGTAACTAGACGGTAATTCGACCTCGTGACGTCATCGCTCACCTCCGGCCTTATACACAGTAAAAACAAAACAGTCGTGACGAAAATCTGAATATCACGGTTCAATATATTTACAACCGTCTCATCAAGGATGAATTGAATAGGAGAAAGGAGTGACGAGGAAACCGATGAGATTGGATGTTAAAAATATTTAGCCACGAATAATATGGTTCTTTTTATCACATTTCCTTACGTTGTACCGGGTACCGATGTGCGGTCTGCATAACCATAGCCTAGCCGGCTCGCCTCGCAAAGTCCCTGCCGACGTCGTGTTTGCGTCGTCCGTCCAAAAAGTTTCGAAATTCGCACGGGGAAACGGAAAAGCAAAAGCCACTTTAACGGAGTTTTGTTCGTTCGCTGTTTTTTGGGGGCGGTACGATATGTGCCCCCCCTTCCCACTGCACCGTGTGGTAACGCTCTCCAGACTTTGCTCACACTGTTCCGAACCAGCATTATTTTATTTTCGTGAACAAGATTTTTTTTCTGGTCGTTTGGTATATTTTTGTTTCCAACATGCAGATTGGTCGGAGGCTGTGAACCACGCCAGGCGTCGAGCGCTTTCGGCGGTGTGAGAGCGAGAGAGAAAGAAAGAGAAGGAGAGTGAGAGAGAGAGAGAGAGAGAGAGAGAGAAAGATATGGGGTGGGAAAGGGGGGGGGGCAGCGAGAGGCTGGAAGGAGCGCAGCATTTTGGTGACGCAGATAAGGTCGCAAAGACCGGCGCGTTTTCCGCTCCACTTTGATCAGCGCCGCGAAGTGCGTACCGAACACACCCACGCCGCCGGACGCCCCCCCCTCCCCCCGCCCCTCCCCATTTACCCCGAGCCCCCTGCTCTTCGAACCATGTAAAAAGTGCTTGGTGAGTCCCCATCAAGGGATCGTCCGGAAAATAGACGTCCGTTTTTCTGAGATTCATTCGGGCAAATGGCGTGAGCTCGACGCCTGCGAGACTCGGGGTAGGCCGCCCCGCAACGCACGCATGCAGTGCAGGGACGGTGTTGCCTACCCACCAGGCGTTTGGAGAGGTTTCAGAGACTGACGGACGTACTTTCTGGATGATCTTCAAGCAGAAAAAGTGATGGTAATTTCTAAGCTCAAAACAGTCGGTCATGCTGTCCTGCACCTTGCTGGCAACCGCACGTAAGAATCGCGCCCTACTTTTCTCTCCACAACTCTTTTTCGCACCCTTCTTCTTCTTCTTCTTCTTCTTCTTCTTCTTCTTCTTCTTCTTCTTCTTCTTCTTCTTCTTCTTTTCTTCTTCTCACCCCACCATCTCGCTCTCGTCAGATCGTCAGACCCACCTACTCGTCTTGCAGCTCACCACCACGTCTAATGTATTCCACTCTCTCTCTCTCTCTCTCTCTCTCTCTCTCTCTCTCTCTCTCTCTCTCTCTCTCTCACCGGCCGGCCTGTAAACTCCCACGCTCAAGTTCTCTCCTGGCGCCCCATTAAGTCCACACGCCGGTGCGGTGCCTACCGCTCATTCACGCGGGGGCGCCCTTCCCCTTCCTCCCCTCCCCCCCGCTCCCTCCCCTCACACTACACCCTCTCCCCCGTCTCTCTCTCGCAAATTGGGCCCCGTCCGGAAGCAGAGATGCAGCGCAGATTGGCGGCATGGTGTGCTTAAGGAGGCATACGAGCTTCTTATTCGCGTTTGGGTGATGGCTGCCTGGAGGCCAGACGCGCCCGTTCGCATTATTATTATTATTATTGTTACAATTATTGACGGAAACGTTATTCGTAATGAATTACGCGTTCCCGTAATAGCTGCTTCGAGGGGCGGATAACCCCCCTGCTAGGTATACACCCGTTATTCCTCCTAATTCAAACTAATTCAAGCAAACCAATTCAAAAATGATTCAATCAATTCACGCTAATTCAGTAAAATAAAATCGTAATAATTTATACCAATTCAAAAACAATTCAACCAAATTCAGTCTAATTCAAATTCAATTCATGAAATATGTCCACCAATTTCAGGAGTTATCAACCCTCAAACGGCGTTCAGGGGAAGTGTGTGGACCAGATTGCACTTGTTTACGTTTCCATTTGCTGAAAACATTATTGTCTATGTCAAGAAAAAGAAATTGCCACGGCATATGACCAGGTATTGCAGCTCGAACGCTTTGCATTTTGCCTCCTGATTTTGCGGCAGTGAGTGACTTGCCGAGTTGCCATAGGCTGCAGTGCCGTTACCTGAATAATTTCGCTGAATACTTCTGTTTCGCCGGGAACTGTCGAGTGGAGACCGATCGAAGTGTACTACAGTATCGACTTTGACTTGCATTATGGGTGTCTTGCCGTCTTGCGGAGCGGAGTGTGAGTGTGCTGCAAAAGTGTGGGGGATATCAGTCTTTTTGTAAGGAGCATGATGGACAGTGAGCCTTTACCGTTGTTGTGGAATCTACACAGTGCGAGGAATGGAAGTGAACTTTCCGCCAACGGCCTAAAAGGAGACCCTGGGAAAACAGGAAAAGGAAAAGAGCAGAGCTGTGAGGAGAAGAAGAAGAAGAAAACGAAGAAGTATGAGGATTAACGCGCTGCAGGGCGGCGGTGGCGGGCGGCGGTGCTGACCCTGCGCGGCCCGGGCGACGCCATGCTGTGCCTCAACATGAAGCTCTCGGCGCGCCTCAAGGGCGACAAGGCCCGCGGCGAGCGCGGCGGCATCGGAGGTGGCCTCGGCGGCGCGCTCGGGGGCGTGCCCCGGGAGGCCGGCTTCCTCGCCCTGGCCGCGCCGCTCGCGGGCCATTCGCCCATGCTGCCCCCCGGCCAGCCCCGCGACCGCTCCAAGTCGCTGTGCGTCGACCGCGTCATGGCCGCCCTGGTGCGGCCCGGGTACGACCCGGCCACCCTGGCCGCCAGGGACCTCAACCTGCACAACATTCAGCGCAGGAGGGCGTCGTCAGCAATGTGAGTACGAGGAACAACCCCCCCCCCCCCCCGGTTAAAAAAAAAACTCCTAAACTGCTTAAGTTTCCTGATACCATTCGGAAAACTATTTTCTTTTATAATTGAAAATTAGGGCACACCACGCGATATGTTAAATCAAAATTGCAAACTCAAAAAAAAGGGCGAGTAATTCAAAGAGGTCGGGACTGCGAAATAAACGTAAACAAATCCAGAACAATTAAATGCTCTTGGACTTTTTCCTCCCTTGTTTTGAGGGGATGAGACCGCGTTGTAAGACGGCGGTGACTCAAAGTTATAGCTGAGGGGTGGACCACTTGAATATTTCGTGGCACACTGAAAATAATCCACAAACATTCCAGATATTCCAAAAATATCTCAGATATTCCAAAAATTATTGTAGATATTCCAAAAAATATTCCAGATATTCCAAAAACATTCCAGATATTCCATGTGCACCGAAAATCTAAGTGGTCGACCCCTCGAAGCAAGCCCATCGGTGTGTGCTTGTATTGCAGGTCGCTGTTAGGTCGCACCAAAGCCACAGCATCGGCTTTTCTGTGGTGGTATAGTAGGCTCGTGACGACAAACAAACAGAGACAAAGTCTCCCCCCCCCCC